ATATATAATATATAATATATAATATATAATATATAATATATAATATATAATATATAATATATAATATATAATATATTTATAATATATCATGTATCATATATCATATATCATATAAATATATAATATGATATATAATATATAATATATAATATATCATATATCATATATAATATATCATATATCATATATCATATATCATATATCATATATCATAGATATAGATCATATTATATATTATATAATATATTATATATTATATATAATATATAACGTATATTATATATTGTATATTGTATATAATATATTATATTATATATTATATATTATATATATAATATATGTGTATGTTATATATATATATAAATAATAATAATAATAAGAAAAAGCCCTCCACAACAACAATAAAATAATCAATAAACCCATGTAAAGACTTTGGGGGTTTCTCGGGCTATTTTTTCCCCTCCCCTCTTTCCACAAATGACAGAGCGGCAAAAAAAATAAAAAATATACACAAAATTTAAATAAGATTAAAGATTGAAATGCAGCTACAGAAAGAAGCTGAGCAGATTTGATCTAGCCCTAAACCAGACACAACCGCTGTGGTATTTTTATGTACCACATATATATATATATTTATATATATATGTGTGTGTGTAAAATCAAATACAAGAAGCTACCTTGGATCAAGTTAAGAGTGTGACAAGGGGCAGAAAGTGGCAGGAATCAGGGAAGCTGCTGGATTTCATGGATGGTTTCCAGGGATGCCGACACCAGCCCTGAGCACTCCGTTCCCACTCACCCGGGAGTTAAGCGTGTATTAAACTCGGGCTTAAAGCCTGGGGAGGGTTTAAACTGCAGCTTAAGAGCTCGAGTCCAGCCCTGCTCCTGCCTCTGGATCTGCCTGCGGGAGCAGCTTCCAGGCTCGGCGCCAAAAAAGGGGGAGATGGCAAAAAGGGAAAGCTGATAAAAGCTCTAATTAGGGTTCTGGACATTGTTTTGGTCAGTGTCACAGCCTTAATGGTATTTCCATGATATCTTCTTTTTTGTACTTCGTTTCCTTTACAAGAAGAGCAAAAGGAAAGAAAAAAAAAAAAGAATGAAAAGTAGAAAAAATGACAGAAGATTATTAAAAAATTTCTATTCTTTGCCCGTGAAACGGGAACAGTTCATAGCTCATCAAGTCTGGCAAGGAAATATGTTCTCATTCAGGATTTTATTTGATTCTTTTTATTTAATTTTTTTTTTTGTATTTTTATTTTTTTTTAAAAAGTGTATTACGTACCCGATAAAGTGGAACAGCTCTGAAAGAAGAAAGAACTGGTCCACTGGTTAAATATTTATATCTTTTTATATTTTTAATTTTTTTTCTCTTTTTTTTTTTCTTTTTTTTCTTTTTTTCTTTTTTTTGTTAAAAAATAAAACAAAAAATCAGGTTTGTACAGATTCCATAGACCAGAAAACCCTCAGAAGTAGTAAAGAACCTGCTGGGGCAAACGACTTGAAGCTTTGTGGTTTAAAAAGTTGTGACAGAGGAATGGCTCTGTCAGGGTCAGGGTAGCTCTGGATTTGGTATAGGATTTATCGGCAGTTGAGGTCTTTGCTCTGCCAGGGATGCTCATCCCGAAAATTCTGCTCTGGAAAAAGCTGCAGCGCATGCACAACAAGCTGACTTTGCAAGCATTCACCATTCAGCGTCACATTTTTATCTCCCAAAAACAGCCAAAAACGGGGCCTGTCCGCGCCGGAAGGGCTGAGCTGGGGATGTCCCGCGGGGGAAAAGAAATAAAGGTGAGAACAAGAGCCAGAGTCACCGAGAGGCCTGGCAGAGCCCCGAGCCTTCCTCATCCCTGGAGCTCCCAGAGCACCGGGAGCGAGCCTGGGGTGGGGTGGGATGAGATGGGATCCATGGGATCCATGGGATGGGATGGGATTGGATGGGATGGGATGGGATGGGATGGGATCCATGGGATCCATGGGATCCATGGGATGGGATGGGATGGGATGGGATGGGATGGGATGGGATCCATGGGATGGGATGGGATCCATGGGATGGGACGGGATGGAACGGAACGGAATGGAATGGGAGGGACAGGGTCTTGGGCCGGGGTTTGGAGCAGGCACAGAAACCAATGGAGGCTGATTGTCCATAAAGGGTGATGTGGTGCCCGGGGCAGCACTTCAGGGGGTGATCTGTGGTCACAGCATCCTGCTCAGCCATGGCTCTGCAGGGCATGCACGGTCCAAGGAGTGGTAGCCCCATCCCCTAGAGTTTTGGGTCATGACCCCCTATTGCAGATCCATGCAGATCCCAGCTCCAGGCTGGCTCCAGGGCTCAGGCTAGGGTGGGCAGCATGTGCTGAAGTGGTGGAGAAAATAAGGGCATAAGACCATTCTGGAATTTGTGAAGTCATGTAAAGCAAGCTAAGGCCGAGGTGCTGTGACTGAGGGCTGAGCAGTGCTTTGGCCATCTGCCCCTTGAATGCACCAGCCTTGGACAGCTCAGCTGCAGATGCAGGAGTCAGGTGGGCAGTCTGGGGAGTTGGTGGCTTTTTCACACCAGGAAATTGTGATGAAGAGTGACCAGAAAAAGACCATGTGGTTAAAGTGCTTCGTCACAGTGGAACTGCCTCATGCCACGGGGCAGGGGGGGACAGTACCTGACTGGCAGCACTGGAAACCAAGAGCTGCAGCAAGATTTTGCCTGGTTCCTCAGAAAGTGGCAGAGTTTCCTCTGCTGTCCCCAGCTCAGCTGCCAGCGCAGCTGGGCAGGGGGAGAGGCTGAGTCCTCACTCACACAGAATCTGACTGTGCCAGGGCTCAGATGACACATCCACAGGATTTCTTGCCAGCCAGAAGGCACTGGCCTTTGTGTGAGTACCTTCCTGCACACCACAGGGAACACACATGCAGGAGTGTGTGCTCACACCTGTGTGTGCCTGGGGTATCGCCTATACACGTCCTGAGCAGGCACTCACACCACTCTCTCCATGAGCTGATCCCACCCAACACCGTTGGCATTCTCCCTGTGTGCCCAGGACACACGGGAACAGGTTGTGCAGCACGTTTATACCCCCAGCCATGTGTACATCACACTCTTCACATCCATGTTGCCACGTCCCGTGGGGAGCACCCACGCTCCCCACGCCTGTGCAGCTGTTTCTCAAGGCAGTGCCTTCCCCACCAGGGTGTTTGTGACTGCTCTGGATTTAGGATCTGTGGTTCTCACACTTGAGGGGAGCAGGCTGGCTCTGAGCTGGGAGCAGAGCTTTCTCCATGAACAGTAATGCCCTGAAGGCACAGGCTGCTTTCCCAACTGCTTTGCTGCCCTCGTGGAAGTGTTTTATCTTTAGCTCCGCTCTTTCATAGCACCCAGAGAAGCCAGTGCTTTGGAAGGCCTTTCCCCTGTGTCTGCTCAGCCATTCCCATATGGAATTCCCCTCTAAGTCACAGCAGCTGCTGGATCAGACACTCTGCTCCACACAGACGATGAGCAACCTGTCATTCCACACTGGCATCCAAGTTATCCTGCCTCATGCTTCAAGGTATCAGCTGACAGCCAAAAGGAGCAGGAGGAGAGTTCCTCACGTTTGCAGTGTCTCATAATTCAGGATCTGAGTTGCTGTTTGGTTCTGCCAAACCAAGCCCAGATCCTGGTGCCCCTCTGAAATGCCAAGGGTGACAAACTGCAGTAGCACAGATGGTCCTGGAGGCAAAAGGCATGAGAAAGGGAGATCAGAGGGGAGTTAGGAAGCAACAGGAAAGACAGCAAAGGCTTGCAGGCATTTTGATGATGCTAGTGAATAAAAGTGCTTCCGTCTCTGAGAGAGAAAGATAGTGGCAGGAGTACATGCAATGAATTCTTCAGGACATAATATCACAGTAAGGAGCACATAAAAATATGTAGCTCATTTTCTTGGTTTGGTAGGCAATAATCTACCATGGTGTTTCTGAATGCAGTTTAAAACGAAACAACTTGGTCTGTTTCACAAGGGGTGGTGAAAGGACTCAGAAATACTCCAGGTGTGGTGCTAACACTGGCCTAAGTAAAGGATCAACTACCAACACTTTCCTGTGCCCCACATACTTAAAGGAATAAAAATGGTCATTTCATCCCAAAATACTGACTTTAACAGTTCCACTAAGGAATATAGGTGTCTGATTCACAACGAATATTTTAAATCTGGGTCTTCAAGTGAGTTCAAAAATAAAATGGTCTTGCAGGAGATCCAGGAGAAATAACTCTGAGAAGCTCATGCTGA